GAAAACAGGAGGGAGGGAGAGAGAGAGAAAACAGGAGGGAGGGAGACTGGATGGAGAGAGGGAGAGAGAGAGAGAAAAGGAGGGAGGAAGAGAGAGAGAGAACAAGATGGAGAGAGACAGATGTAGAGGGGAAAGATGTAGAGAGAAAACGGGAGGGAGAGAGATGGGGAAGAGACGCGAGAGAGAGATAGAATGGGGCAGAGAGTGAGAAGTGGGAGAGATGAGAAGGAGAGAGGGATGGGAGAGAGACAGGGAAGAGAGGAGAGAAAGGGATTTGAACAGAGAGAAAGCAAACAACGTAGAGAGATAGGGGAGAAAAACAGAGATGGGAGTGAGAGAGGTTTAGAGGGAGAGAAAGGCAGAAGGATGGGAGAGAGAGACAAGGTGAAAGTGAGATGGGAAAAGAAAGAGAGGGAGAAATAGAAAGAGAGAAATAGGGTATGAGAGTGGGGAGAGAGGAAAATGCCAAAACATACAAAGCTATGGACCATGTGCTAGAAATGGGATTAAAATAGTGTGTGCTTGCTTTTGACTGGCGCAAACACATTGGGCTAAATGGCCTTTTTCTGTCCTGTAGCTCTGACTCTCAAATAGCGAGAAAGATACATGGATTGGGAGTTGGAGGGAAAGACAGAGGGAAATAGAAGGAGAGATGAGAAAGCGATGCAGATGAAGATATAGAAAGGGACAGATAGAGACAGAGGCACAGAGTGACAAAGGGAGTAGATGAGAGGGAGAAAGACAGGACAGCGGAAAGAAGAGGGAAGAGTAGAAAAGGTAGCAGAAGAGAGATAGAGGGAGAGAGTGACAGGTTGAGCTATAGGAAGAGGCCGATAGTGAGAGAGAATAACAGGATGAGACAGAAAACGAGAATGACAGTGGGAAGTTGGTGAGGTGAGAGAAATATAGGTAAATGCCAGATGGGAGAGATAGAGAGAGGGGGACAGAGGAGCATAGAGAGGAAGAGGGAAAGAGCTGAACAGAGAGGAAAATTGAGAGCGAGGGCAAGGGGGAGTTAGAGAGGGAGTGATTGTGGAAGTGGTAAGATAGTGGTCAAGGGAATAAGAGTGATACAGGGGAGTAGGAGTGCAACAGAAGGGGTACGGAGAGAAATAATTGGGGTAGTGGAAGAGATAGAGATGGAGAAAGGGGAGGGATGAAAAAAGAAAAGAATAAGTATGGAGGGGATAGTTGGATGGGAAAATAGCTGGAAGATACAGAAAAACGTTCCAGTAGAAATGATAATAAAAGGGGAGAAATTTTAGGGAGAATTAGAGCATGGAAACAGATTGAGATAGAGAGAAAGTAATAGGGAGATAGTTATGGAGAGAGATAGATAGAGAAAAGAAGATAAAAAGACACAAGGCAGAGATTAGGAGAAATACAGAAAGAAAGGGACTGAAGGAGAGATATGGCAGAAAAAAAAGAGAAAATATACACTAACTGACAGAGAAAGAGGGAAAGAAAGGAAGAGATATAGGGATAGATGTAATGAACAGTACTGGCGAGGGAGAAATATTCCTATTATACAGATATATACGGGGGGACAGATAGAAGGAAGAAAATGAAGAGTTATAGGAGCAGAGATGGATAGGAGAGAAAGATAGACGGGAGAAAGAAGGATGGAGTGAGATATGGAGAGAATGAAAGAGACAGAGGAATAAGAGAATTAAAAAGATAAACATGGAAAGACAAAACTAGGAGGAGTTATAAGGAAATAGAGGAAGAAATACACAGATAGAGGAGAAGGAAGAAATCAGTAACCAGATACAGCCAATAGGATAAGCATGAATGGGAGAGTTCAAAGGAGAAAGGGGACAGATCAATGGAGTGAAGAAAGTGTTGCATGATGTCCAACAAAGGAATTGTCCGTTTTGGAAGGAAGAGTGGAAAACAAGCATTGAAATGGTGAGAAACTGCAGAACTCTAGGATACCAGGGGATCTGACTGACATGAATTATAAAAGACTCATAGCAGAAAACCAATAGAATGTTTAAATGTTTGTTGTTTATTGTGAGGGGAACTGAGTACAAAGTAGGGAGTTTATGTTTCACTTAAACAGAGAGACCGCATGTGAAGCACTGTATACAGTATCGGTCTTCATATTTAATGAAAAATGTAAATATATTTGAAGCTGTTCACAGAAAGCTTACTAGACATATTTAGAATGGATGTGATATCTTATTGGATTGGACAGGCTAGGCCCATATCTGATTTGATTTGATTTGATTTAATGTCACGTGTACCTAAGTACATTGAAAGTTTTGTTTGCAAGCAGTACAGGCAGATCGTAGTGAGCAAGAACACACAGATCATAGGGTGTAAAAACTTGGACAAAGTGAGGCATACAGGTTACACCGCACAGGACAGTTGGTAAGAGTCCTTATGGACATGCCAAATTTCCTGAGCCACCTGAGGAAGAAGAGGCATTGTTGTGCCTTCTTGACCATCGCATCTACATGGAAAGGGCAGGACAGGTTGCCAGTTATCGTCACTCCTAAGGAACTTGATGCTCTCAACCCTCTCAACCTCTGCTCTATTGATGTTGATGGGAGTGTGTTCTCCTCCTTTCTTTCTGAAGTCAATGATCAATTCTTTTGTTTTGAGGTTATTATCATTGCACCATGTCACCAAGCCCTCCATCTCCTTTTTGTATTCTGACTCATTGTTGTTTGATAGATAGTAGGAACTGCAGATGCTGAAGAATCTGAGATAACAAGGTGTAAGCTGGATGAACACAGCAGGCCAAGCAGCATCAGAGGAGCAGGAAGGCTGACGTTTCGGTCCTTTCTGAAGATGGGTCTAGGCCCGAAACATCAGCCTTCCTGCTCCTCTGATGTTTCTTGGCCTGCTGTGTTCATCCAGCTCTACACCTTGTTATCTCATTGTTGTTTGATATCTGTCCTTCCATGGTGGTGTCGTCAGCAAACACGTTGATGGAATTTGTTTGGAACTTGGCTACACAGTTATGGGTGTACAGGGAGTACAGCAGGGGGCTGAGAATGCAACCTTGGGGAACTCCAGTGTTGAGTGTTATCATGGAGGAGGTGCAGTTGTCTATCTTCACTGATTACGGTTTGTGGGCCAGGAAGTTGAAGATCCAATTGCAGACGGTGGAGCCGAGACTTAGGTCTTGGAGTTTTGACAAAGTCGGAAGACTTATGACACCAGGTTATAGTCAAACAGGTTTATTTGAAATCACAAGCTTTCTAAGCACAGCCCCTTCTTCAGGTGAAGTGAGAGAGAAGAGTAAAGAGACACAAAATTTATAAGCAGAGAGATTGAGGGCAGATAGATCAAAAGATCATACAACTGGTGTGAATGGAGTGTCAAATAATAAGTCTCTGCAGATCAGGAGTGTTAGATGGTGTGAGTAAAGTGTCAACAGCTGAATAAGAAGTGAAGGGATGACCTATAATGCGATTAACTGAGGCAGAGTAATAATTACAAAAAATTAAAATAAGGCACTGGAGACAAACCAAATGATTGGAATAACATGATAGGTATAAGAGTTGCATGCCAAGGTAATAAGTAATCCAAAACTGTACAAACAAATTAAGGTAGAGAGATCATAACAATTTATCAAGGTGATGGTGTCAAAACAGGACATTAAGAAAGGTTTTACAAATATAGGACAGTATGGTGGGGTCACATGTAGTGCGACATGAACCCAAGATCCCGGTTGAGGCCGTCTTCATGGATACAGAACTTGGCTATTAGTTTCTGCTGGGTGATTCTGCATTTTATGTATCTTGAAGTCCCCTCTGGAGGACGCTTACCCAAAGACTGGAGGCTGAATGTCCTTGACCGCTGAAGTGTTC